AGTTGTCTGCTATTTCTGTGTGTAAGTAGTGTGTGAACATGAGGAGGTGGGTGGAGCTGGGAGGGGTTTGAAAGTCCAGCAGGGATGGGGACAGGGCCACAGGTGAGATCTCAATAAATTACACTCTGAAGTGGTCATTAATTATAGATGACATCCCAGTCAGACCAGCGATTTCATTTGAAATGAGGAGCAGTGTGCATAGCGCTGGTGCCCTGGGCCCTGGTGTGATGGCTTACGTGTGTGTGTGTGTGTGTGTGAGTGTGAGAGAGAGAGAGAGAGAGCAGTGGGTCAAACAGTCTTAGCTCCTGCATTAGCTTTTTGATGAGGACCCTCATTACGCTAAACGGCCCTCTATGGTTCAGCCTCCCTCCGACTTGAGGAAAGGTTAAACAGAGAATAATTAAAGATGACCGCCTCAGGCTGAGCATGTCACCCTTAAGGAGACACTCTGGTCAGCGGTAGGCTGTTTCAAAGACGGCTCAGTAGAGCTCAAGCGCTCCTCCCTGGTCAGTATCATACGGCTAAAATAAATCACACATTAGTAACACTTGGCGTGAATGTGGAAATGGCTACAATGCAATAATTAACAACGAAAAGCCTTGAGCAAGTCTTTAAAATTTGTAAAAAATAAAATAAAATGTTTAAGATTTTTTTTATGTTTTTGAAAGACATTTCTTTGATCAAATACACAGTAAAATAGTAATACTGTGATATTATTAAAAATTTTAAATAACAGTTTTCTATTTCAATATATTTTAAAATGTGATTTATTCCAGTGATGGCAAAGCTAAAATTTGCTCAGACATTTCTTCTTATCATTTTGAAAACAAATTTTTGGTGGATTCATTGAGGAATATACTTTTTAAAAGAACAGCATTTGAAATAGAAGTATTAAATATGAAAATCTAAATATTAATTTCCTTCTTAAAAACAGAAGAATCTTACTGACCCCAACATTTTGAACAGTATACTGATAAAAAAAAAAGAAGAAAAAAAAAAAAAAAAGAAAAGTGAAAGTAAAAAGCATACATCTACTGTATGAACAGATGCATGGAAAATCATTTTTTGGTATCCATGGAAAAAAATAAAAATAAAAAGATTTGGAAAAAAAAACAATCAAAGTTATTTGAAGGCTTTAAATGTTCTTTTAAAGCAAATTATGTGGAAAGATTGAGTTTGACTTTTTTCACCACGATACCATATAGCTATTATTGTTAGTATTGTCAAATCTGAATTTAATATGGGATCTGCATCAAACATTGTAATAGGCTTTCAAACGGCATTGTTTTTTTGTTTTTTAGATGGCAGTGAAGATTAATACCAACTTAAAAAAAAAATCACATGGTTATTTCTGAGGAAGACAACCACAAGACCACTCATTTAAAAAGACGGCACACGTAGTGTAATAATAAAGTTCCCAAAGCCGAAGACAACTGAGACACTTTCTTTTCTCCTTTTTCTCATCATCTTGAAGACAGAGATTATCTTGGAAGCGCATGAATGATCAGCGATGAGAGAGAAAGTGTACTTTAACGAGTCCACGCGACGCTGCCATACTGATTGTCTGCTTTTAATCCTCGACCTCATTATCACCCTCTGGTCTTACTCCAGCAGTAAATTAATCTATCTGCAAAGTGTCAAATCTTCTCACTTTCCTCCTGGTAATCACCCGAGGTGCAAATAAAACTAGGGAGCCGGGTTCGCTCAAGACCCCGCGTCCGTTATCAACAAGACGATGCCGTGTTATAATTAAAAACCAATTGGCCATTGTTGGGTTGCTCATTAAGCCGATCAAATATTTGTGTCTTCGCTAAGGTCAATGCAATGACATTCAATAACAGGCAATGTTAACAGGAAAAACATGTTAGAGATTGGAAAAGTTGCATGGAGAAAACAGCCAAAAAGTCATGAAAAAGATGCTAATTTCAGTGCTACGTTATATTAAGAAAGAGAAGACTGGCAAAATTGTACCAATGGCCTAACATGGATATACTAGACCTATGCTTGCTAGCCTAAAGCAATATGGTTAATGGTCTAAAAACATTTGTATGAAGTAACCAGTAATGCACAGGCAAAAAACATTGATCAACTGGACGAAAAACTGGGTTGACTACTCATTCTACAAAACGGGTGGCATTAGTGTCTGATGCCAACTGATACAGACATTTTTTAAAGACAAAATTTTGTAACTGGTTCTCTTAACCATACACACAAACGTATGTACATACATGTACTTTAAAATCCACCTATCAAATTTGAAATAGCCCCTGTTTCATTGACTATGCATCAAAGTCCATAAAAACCCTCCAGCACCTTTAACTGTAAGCAAGATATGCATGTCCTTTGCTTCAGTAATATGATGATATATTAAAACAGTTACATATTTGTAAAAGGTTCCTAGAAAAATCCAACAAAAAAATCTGCAATACCTTCCTAACTATGATCATACATTATTGAGGGAGAAAAGATACTATGTAATAGAGAGAGATCTAAACCCATTCTCTCATGTGAATTATTTATCAAATTCAAATAACAGATGGTATAATTTTCTTAAAATATCTTAATCATTATTCAAAAGACACAGTGGTATAAAACGGTTCCTGTACACAGACTCTTGTGTGATCAGAATGCTGTTTGATTATTCCCACACAGATCTGAATCAACACCAACAGTCAACATTCATGCCTTCTGTCTTCTGGCCAATCCTGATTTCCTCAAATTAAAATGTTATCTGCTCGCCAGGTTTGAAAAATAGTATCGCACGTAGAAAGTATAATTATCATTTGATTATTAAAAGACTCTCCTGAAGGTCTTGTGTCATCACGGTGATGGAAAAATGATGTCAAACTACCCAAGCAAATTCAATTACCCAACCAATTACTCGCCTGCGTTCGTACTGACTTATTGGGACATTAAATATTAATGGGAGCATGGATATCAAATTTGCTCATCATTAGAAGGTGCACACATTGTGGGCTAATCACAGATGTTCCACATCACTCAGATCCTTTCAGCAAAGAATGAAACACTCCAACACAAAGGAGCACCTACATCTGTTGCTTGAAAGCTCTGCTAGTGCTAAAAGATTAGGAAATAGTACATCTATTTACATTGAGTAAACCTGTGTCACTATATGTTACTCCAATAGCAATATATATGATAACATAAAGGTGAAGTGTATAATATCTGCCACACTGGCATCAGTAAATGCAGATGCAAAAGTAATGAATGTTTTCAAACAGGTTCCCTTTCAGTCGTTCACGTTCGACGTAGTCGACTGGCTCCCTGGCGTGATCCCATTCAGTCGACGTCGACTACGTCACCGTTCAGGGATTCATACGCAACCGAGACGTTTCCTGGTCTACTATTGGCTTGACAAACAGAAAATCCCGCCCCAAATTTACACCATTGGTTGAGCAGGGCGGCTTAAACAAACAAGACAAAGCATTAAAAACACCACAAAGAGCCACAATGTTTAGCCTCTTTAGGGAAATCAATTTATTTATAGTTGCCTCTCAATATTAAGCCTTTAAAAAAAATCCATACTAATATTCAGATTGTGCGATTTTCTGGTAGGGGTGGTATTGGGTAGTAACTGATTACATAATCAGATCCCCTAAATTAAGTACTTGTAATTAGATTATATTACGTTTTAAAATCAGACTATGCCATTGGTTACATGATTACATATTCACACAATGGCTGTAAATCATTCAGAACTTATTGATTCTCCCTAATTCTTCTTTTTCACATTTTAAATGTTCCTTTCTAAAAAAAACATATCGATTATATCCAATCAGAATGTCTTCTAGTTTAATGCACTTCATGTTGTTGATGATAAAAAATTGAATATGTTTTAATTTTTCTTAGAATTTTTATATCAATATGGTAAAATATTATTCTCTTCAATTCAATGTGATTAGGTCAAAAGTAATCTAAAAGAATTCAAAAAGTAGTTTGCACCTTAAAATGTGTAATGTAATAGATTACTTTACTAACAAAAAATTTTGCCAAGTAATTTGAAATCAGTAATGGACTTAAATTTCATATGTAATGTACCCAGCACTGTATATATATATATATATATATATATATATATAATAAGTGTATATTATCACTATAATTAATTAATAGGTTTTTTTATCAGACTACATCCTATCCAGTACTGGTGCATTTAGTCCTTATAATCTTGAAAGTTGTGGCCTTAAACAATATTTCTCGATCTCTTAAGCACATATTAACTTCTAGTATCACATTAAAAACATTCTTCTTTCAGACTAAGGGCCAGATTTACTAACAACTTGCGCCAGCGCAAATCCTCTTTTGGCATTAAGAAGCTACTGTCAGGATTTACTAAAGACACCCAGTGAGAAGTAAGCGCTGAAGAGGCTTGGACAGTTATTTTTGTGGCTGACCTTATCTTACAGTATATGCATTTTGTAGGAGTTTCCCTTTGAGACGCAAAATTTATGGGTGTATTTAAATGAATCATGCAAGGTGATTTACTAAGGCTTACGCTAGTCAATTTACTGCTATTTGCGCCATAATTTAACGTCCAAAAATAGCATGTCTTATTCCAGACGCTAAATTGCGCTGCTCTTGGTAGATTGTGTTGGTTATTATGGAAATGATCCAGCTGCGTCTGTTCTTTAATGTGTGCGTCATCAGCAGATCATGCGCAGAACTTTCCACTCCCATTGGCACTTTTATGGGATTGCGCTCTCACGCTAATTTGCCCTGTTTAGTAAATATGGCTCTAAGAAGGATATTCTGCTCAAGATCAGATTTTAGGATCCATAACAATACAATCCCACATCTTCATCTAATTTTAGGGAAGCAAAAGCATGGCAGGAGTCTCAAAGACACACCTGAGGGGGGAGGAGAGTTATCAGGGCAATACACCCAGTAGACACGCTGGCGAGCTTACAGATCGAGATGACAGACAAAACAGTGTTGGTGAAGTGTTTGCTGTTAACACAGTAATAGATAAAGAGCGGTACCTGCTGTTAAACTTTTCTGGATGTTTCTCTCTCATAATGTGGAATCGTTGAGCGATGGATGCATCCTACAAAAGGAGAAAAAAGCAAATCAGATCAGTTTTTTTATGCACACCGTTATACCGCCATCAATGTTTCGTGAGCTTCTGACAATGCTTCGTTAGGGGCCTTTGACATATTAAACTCGTGTGTCAGATTCTCTCATCATCCGATGTGCATCTGGGTCTCAAAATCTTGAATTTGACAAAACAGCTGTGTGAAGATGAAAAGACAACAGATTGAGGATTGCATTGAATGGTTTCATGATGGTTTTATCATGGGCCATTAGCTATAAACAAAAGCCCCGCGTCAGAGACGTCGCAGACAAGAGACGTGTTTATTTTAAAACCAGATGAATGTATTTTAAAACCCGACAAAAAAACTAAATTCCTTTCCCCACACAACATCAGAGCACCAATTACGGGCCTGATCTCCCTTGCACGTGACTGGAAACAAGTTTGGGCTCTGTGCATATGTATGCGTGTTAACAGATAAGGTGTTTGCGATTCTTTGCTGGGGTTCTAGCCAACGATGATGAGTATTGACAAGAGGACTGAACACGTGGTTGGGCTAATTAATCGCACACATGTACAGGATGCTGCAGCTCTGCTGGCACCCGTCGCAGATACTCTTCCAATCTGACATCTGCGGGTTAGAGGTTCGGATGCACTTGCCATGCGCCTTGCATGTACTTTGTGTACTGTAAATGTTTTGTTGCTATGGTGATGTATAGAGACGGTGGTTGGAATGTAAACGGACTATATGTCCTGATTGAGAAATGTAGATTCCGAAGGCCTGATCATTTGTAAGGACAAAAGGGAGAAGCAAGACAAACTTGACATTTTATACACCTTATAGAAGATATGCAGATTTCATTTAGCAGGTGCTGAAGGGGTTAAGAATATAATTAATCGTTATAGACAGGGTGTAAATAAACTTTTTTTCTTCTACACACATGACAAGTGAATTGAGAAAATGTACTATATTTCTGAATGGCCATGAAACTGTATTTTTATAATTTGTTTAAAGGTGACCTATAATTCAAAATTGAATTTACCTTGGTATAGTCAAATAACAAGAGTTCAGTGCATGGACATGACATAGAGTGAATCTCAAACTGGACTGTTTTCGCGTTCTCATTTAATTCACGTTTATGAAAAACACCCCTGAAAAACGGTCGGTTCTCCACACAATACCGACTGTGACGCAATAGTCGGGATCATTAATATGTACGCCTCCAAATATTTGCATAATGCCAGCCCTCAATGCCAGGCGGAACTGCGCAGCCGAAGCATGGCAGTTGCTCAGTGTGGATGCACATGAACACAAAAGTATTTTTTAGTTCCTTCATCTGAGCCTCTGAAGAAACAATGGGTTAATTTTATTTTCTCTGGAAATTTCCAAACATTTCACCGACTGTTTCCTCAACTTGGGCCAATACAGAGCTGGCCTCGGATCGAGCTACCAAGCAACACTTTCTGATGTGTAATTGTTCAAGTTCAGACAGGTAATCTTTCTCTCAAAATCGTTCAATACTGTTTATGCATCAGTAAGTCAAGCCAGTGACTAAAATATCAGCTTCACATCGTTTCTTTTAGTAGGATGAAAATAATCGTATTTAAATTGTGAACAAATTATATACAGAAAGCGATCAAAGAACAATCTTTCCACACAGCGCGAGTTTATCTGGACACTTGCCAAACTCGTTATGAAATCAATGACGCACGTTACTGCACAACGAAGCTCTTACTGTATTTACATCATCGTGTTTGCATTGGTGAAAGCAGAGAGAGTGCAGAAACTGCTTTGCAATGATTAGATCTTCATTCTCGCGATCAACACACTGTCATCTGCTCAATGCTCATCACGGCAACATTTTATGTGATGGGAATAGATCTAAATACTTTAAAAACATCTCACGATTCGTTAATCTCGATAGCTGTTATAGTAAAAACGTATAATAGCAGTAGTAAAAGTATTCGGGAGAGAGTTTCACATGTAATGCGTTGCTATTTCATATGCAAGCATGTCAGCCAATCACAGCAGTGGCCGCGGTTACACTGAATCCCACAGCAGACACGCCCCTTCAAACAGAGTGTTCAAATCAGAGGCTAAAAGCAGGCTAGGAAAAATGCCATTTATTTCTAAATTATGATTATTTTTTATCTAAAAAACATACTAACATTATGAGGGTAACCCAGGAAACATTATAAAATAATAAAAAAAAACATTCTAGGGCACCTTTAAAGTTACATTTTTGTTGGCATATTATTGAGATGTTGAATATTCACAGAAAACAGCAATACGGCACAAAACTGTTTGACCTATGATGAATACAGTGGGACATTTTCTGATGATTTTCTGAATGAGCAAAAAAAAGATATGTCAAAATTAAACAGTTAATGGGCTCTATGCACGGCGGTATTTCCGGTGAAGGTCTAAGGATGCTGGATTACTTCTGCCGATCGTAGAGTCCAATGCTATACCGAGAATTTATATTGGTTTTTATACTCTATTGCTATACTAAAGAAACGTTAGTCACAAAAACAGACAAAACAGACACACTCCTCATTTTGTTTATGCTTCTGTGTTTATTATATTAAATAAACATAACTATATATAAAATTACATCTAAACGTATTAAAGTTTCGTTTCAAAGACGAGAGGACAGTAAATTTTGAAGACTCTGCCATAATCCCGTTTTCCTCGGTTTTCCTCCGCTTTAAATCTCCCCAACCGGAAACGCACGAGCATCCTTGCGTCAAACGCGGAAGTTATGCGTGCATATAGCCCATTGGATTGAAAACTGAAACTGGAAAGTTCTGCGCATGTGCAATGACGTAGAAATAGTGTAATGACGTATGACGCACATAACAAGCTATTGTTGTTGAATATAGTTAAAAAATTTGATATTTCTTTTATTGAATAAAAAATGTTTTCAATAAAAGGGTTCACTGTTTAGAAGATTTGAGTTAAATTTCCAGAATATAGTTTAATAAATGACTGTAGTGTCATTCTAAAAATTTCTTTCTACTCATTGTCTGTGAAGTGGTGCAGGACAGTCCTTGCTTCAGACCCGAAATAGATCAATAGTAAGCCTGCTTTTTAAAACAAAGAAAAGAAGCGATGGCAGGATGATGGTTAGTATACGGGTCCTCTCAATCAGCTCCCTAGTTCAGTAGTCACTGCACTGATCAGGGAGTCGGCCATTTTAAGGGCTGTCTCAATCGCAAAATCCTTCCAGTGTACTGAAACGTTCGCTCCCTCAAAAGTCCCACAATGCACTGTAAAAACCAGGGAGCATCGATGCTCACTGTGTTCCTTTAATGGAAGTTCTGAAGCACAAAATAAATCATGTGAGCCAACTCACTATACATAATGACACGCAATATATAGTTTTTCAAAATAAAAACCATTATTTAATTATATTTAAGCATAAACATACATCATTAAACAGATAATGAACATAATCTAGCTAACATTTATCATTTATTTACAACTGAAATTTTGCATCTATATGTAACAAGCAAAGTATTTATCATAATTTATTTAAACAACATTAAAAAAAATAATGTCAGAAAGATATCAGTGTCCCAATGTGTAGTGAGTCAGGGTCCTTACTGTCTTTACCAGTGCCTGAATTAGTATACACGACATACTGGTTCACGACCTAGAAAGCTAGGGAGTTGATTGAGACGCACCCAACGTCAACGGCGGGAAACTCTGTAAACTCTTGTCCAAAGATCAATTCCAATGTGAAGCTTATGACAAATGTGCACATCAACCCGATCACTTTCATCAGTGTTCGGATTCATTTCCGAAAAGTGTCCATGCAAACGTGGCTAATGATGCTAAAATGTATGGAGGGAGATCAGTGTACAAAATACAAAAGCATTAGTGAACTTGGGTGTGCTCAGAGATAAAAAAAAACTTGCAGAAACTTTCTCCTATACCTCCCTCTCTTTCCCCCCCAAGACCCAAACACACTCATAGGACCATATGTGAATCCAGCCCCTCCAATGAAACCACCTCCACACAGAAGACCCCCTGCTAGCTCACTGCTGAAAAATGTTTTAGTGGAAGCCAAAAAAATCAATTCCTTTACTGTTGACATCTTTTAAACCCGCTGTTAGTTGCAGAGCAAAGCGAGGCCCGGGGTCCCACCAGGCTCCGTTTTCTTCAACGCAGAAGAAGAAGAAAGGTAAAATGACAGGTGTATCTAAAAGATTGTATTGCTCTTTTCTTACAAACTGCACAATATATGAAAACATGAGAGCAAAGGCACGGTCTCCCCTCGGCCTGGCTCTGGTTTGATGCCCGGCGCTGAAACCAAGGAGCTTTCAGAGACGTCATCGCATCCGGCGTCCATGAAGGAGACACCAGATTTCCTTTCATTGACTCTAAAGTTAAAGTTGCAGGCTTGCAGCAGTCAGTCACTCGCTATCTTTCATCTGCCGTTGTCCACCCCTCCCCGATAATTACCACTGCAAAACTCTCGTGACCAAATTAATAAAGGGACATGTGTAATGTTCTCTCATAGTTCACCATTTAGTCCAATTACGGCTTGTCCAGGCAGATGATGTGCCTTCACCGGGAGAGTAATGACTGACATGAGCGCAGGGTCATTAGGAAACAGACTACATTATCTTAGGCGATCCTGTGTGATTAGGGACTGTCTCTAGCTTCTGGCTCTGACCGAAATGATAACACCCCCTGTCTAACAGAGAGGGATATTTCAACTTTGGTATTTAAATGGTACCTAATTACCCAAAATATCACTTGACAGGGTGATCAGTCAACGAGACGAGCGTTAATATGAAGAACAGCTTTGATTTGAGAGAGTTTTTGTTGATGCGTTGCAGATGACAGACATTTCTTATACCAACCTTGTTAGTCTTTGGATTTGACATTTTTTATAAAAGAGTTTGTATTTTTTTGTACTTCTTTTATTCATCAACACTTGCTTATTTTGTTTTAACTTAATGTACTTGCATAAAACATGTCCATGTCCAATTTCCATTTTGTTTAGGGTCCAATTTAGGGTCTCACTATTAACTAACTATTAACTAAGACTTTTGCCTCAATAAACTCCTAATTACGGTTTATTAATAGTTAGTAAGGTAGTTGTTAAGTTTGGGTATTGGGTAGGATTAAGGGATGTAGAATACGGTCTTGCAGAATAAGGCTTTAACATGTGCTTTATAAGTACTAATAAACAGCAAATATCCTAGTAAAATGCATTTTAATAAGCAACTAGTAAATAGTGAGAATTGAACCCTAAATTGTTACCGGAATTTGGAAACTTAAACAACTTAAAAGTTAAAGAACTTGTGCAGATGCTGTGATACCCTTTTGTGTTTTGTTGCAAATGTCTTGAATTGCCCCTTTCTGCTCAAATGTTCTTGCTCTATCTTGTCTGGCAACAGCTGCATTTGTTGGTTGTTTAGTTCCTACAGTTCATATACATAATTACGGAAGACATTGTTTTTCATTTGCATAATCTGCTAAGTAATTATGAGCACGACTTGCTCTGTAATCTCTATTGGTTTACAGTTGTTTTCAAAAGGAATTTGTGTTTTCATGTAAAATGTGATAGGAAAAATATCACTTGATCCCACTGAGATTTGCACTTCTCTTTAATCCAAACAAACAACTAAATTTGTCAACGCATTGAAATTTTAAATTCATAAATCACAGTGCAGAATATATTGTAGCCGAATGATTACTGAGACCGAGACCTAGAGATCTATCTATCTATCTATCTATCTATCTATCTATCTATCTATCTATCTATCTATCTATCTATCTATCTATCTATCTCTCTATCTATCTCTATCTATCTATCTATCTCTATGTCTGTCTGTATATATCTATCTATCTATCTATATATCTATCTATCCATCTCTATGTCTGTCTGTCTATATCTATCTATCTATCTATCTATCTATCCATCTCTATGTCTGTCTGTCTATATCTATCTATCTATCTATCTATCCATCTCTATGTCTGTCTATCTATCTATCTATCTATCTATCTATCTATCCATCTATCCATCTCTATGTCTGTCTGTCTGTCTATATCTATCTATCTATCTATCTATCTATCTATCTATCTATCTATCTATCTATCTATCTATCTATCTATCTATCTATCTATCCATCTCTATGTCTGTCTGTCTATATCTATCTATCTATCTATCTATCTATCTATCTATCCATATCTATGTCTGTCTGTCTATATCTATCTATCTATCTATCTATCTATCTATCTATCTATCTATCTATCCATCTATCCATCTCTATGTCTGTCTGTCTATATCTATCTATCTATCTATCTATCTATCCATCTCTATGTATGTCTGTCTATATCTATCTATCTATCTATCTATCTATCTCTATGTCTGTCTGTTTATATTGATCTATCTATCTATCTATCTATCTATCTATCTATCTATCTATCTATCTATCTATCTATCTGTCTGTCTGTCTATATCTATCTATCCATCTATCCATCTCTATGTCTGTCTGTCTATATCTATCTATCTATCTATCTATCTATCTATCTATCTATCTATCTATCTATCTATCTATCCATCTCTATATCTATCTATCTATCTATCTATCTATCTATCTATCTATCTATCCATCTATCCATCTATCCATCTATCCATCTCTATGTCTGTCTGTCTATATCTATCTATCTATCTATCTATCTATCTATCTATCTATCTATCTATCTATCTATCTATCTATCTATCTATCTATCTATCTATCCATCTCTATGTCTGTCTGTCTGTCTATATCCATCTATCTATCTCTATGTCTGTCTGTCTATATTGATCTATCTATCTATCTATCTATCTATCTATCTATCTATCTATCTATCTATCCATCTCTATGTATGTCTGTCTATATCTATCTATCTATCTATCTATCTATCTATCTCTATGTCTGTCTGTTTATATTGATCTATCTATCTATCTATCTATCTATCTATCTATCTGTCTGTCTGTCTATATCTATCTATCCATCTATCCATCTCTATGTCTGTCTGTCTATATCTATCTATCTATCTATCTATCTATCTATCTATCTATCTATCTATCTATCCATCTCTATGTCTGTCTGTCTATATCTATCTATCTATCTATCTATCTATCTATCTATCTATCCATCTATCCATCTCTATGTCTGTCTGTCTATATCTATCTATCTATCTTTCTATCTATCCATCTATCCATCTCTATGTCTGTCTGTCTATATCTATCTATCTATCTATCTATCTATCTATCTATCTATCTATCTATCTATCTATCTATCTATCCATCTCTATGTCTGTCTGTCTGTCTATATCTATCTATCTATCTCTATGTCTGTCTGTCTATATTGATCTATCTATCTATCTATCTATCTATCTATCTATCTATCTATCTATCTATCTATCTATCTATCTATCTATCTATCT